CTTTAGAAGAGGTTCTTCGACTACATTAATTAATACATCAGGCCTTGATGCTAATAATGGCAAACGTACATGTTCCATTAATTCTGGCAAAAAATCTTTTCTCTGATCCAAATCATGTTTTACCCATTTAATAACACATTCATATACCTACGATTACAAATATTAAAATTAATTAAATACATAATAATTTGTTAAATCACTCATTGATAGTGTATGATTATCACAGGGTCCTGTACATATTATTGGATTCCTTCTTTTTATAGCAAGTAAAGAAATGTATTCATTATTAAATACAAGCTGATTCAATGGATTTGAACCAACTATAACTTTAGATAATTGATACTTTTCACAATAATACCCAGTTTACAACAAATAGGTAAGTACCTAGTATTATTATATAGCCACATAGTAACAATAACATAGCCAGTGTATCCAGGGCCGTCCCTAGGGCAGGGCGAGCGGGGCCCTCGCCCTGGGCCCCGCGCTTTCACCAGTTGGACAGGCCCCGCTTTTGTAGATACCATAAAAAAGCCAAGTTAATGAGGAAAAAAAATTATTATTTATATATTTTTATATCCTTAATTGCTGTAATTTTTACTATACCTACTTATATTAATTGACATCAGTCGTCAAATAAATGTATTGCATTTAAAATGAGTTAATATGATTAAAATTCAATTTTCAAAGTTGAAAATGATAAAAATCTTCAAATCGCTCTGCCCCCCCCCCAAAAAAAGCAACATCTTAGCTATAATATTTATAGAAAAAAAATGCTTGGATTCTGAGCGGAGCGAAAAAATGTATTGATTTTACAATGATGTGTGTTTTTTTTCTGTTTTGTATGGCGCTTTTTGGGTAGTAAAAGTGCTCCGATTTTCTAGATCAGCATCTTTACTGATAGAAAAGTGAAACTAGTTGGTATTTTCGGGTAGTCAAAATTAAAAATGTCTAGTAGTTTTAGAAAACGTTGAGAAAAACAAAAAAATAGGTGACTTATACAAAACCAATTTTTGAAAAATCGATTTTATTTTTTTGGTGTATCTCAAAAATTCATAACTGTAGAACCTTGAAATTTTCAACAAATATTTATGTTAGAATTTTCCATAAAACATTTACTCAATATTTTGACTATTTTTGAGCTAGTTATAGGCTTGAGCCCTTGAGAAATTTTTCCATTTTTCTAAATTAAGAAGAATCTTATAAAGTTCCAATTTTGGCAAAATTCATAAAAGTTTTTTTTTTCATACCTAACTTGAGACATTTTAATAGAAGATTTCCAACAAGTTTTTGTAATTCTATCAAATTAAAAAAGTTCCCCAGGAAGCCACGTTTTCGATCTTTGTTAATTTTTTTTTAGCTACTTAATTTGATTATTTTTACAAGTGTGCTAGGCTGATACAATGTCTCCGCTCAGAATATTTTTTCGTTTACAATAATTTATCAATGTAATTTAAATATAACACATCCATTACAATGACATGCTTGACACCCACTGTACAGCAGAGCGGTACCCACTTGTCCACCTTTTTTCATATTGTATTAGGTGCCTACTATATTTATAGACTTATTAATTTATCAATATTATTATATTAAGTATAAATATATTATGTGTTTTGTTATTAATTAATTTACTTATTCATATTATTGTAAGTACAAGGTACTATATTTTTAAGTATATTTGCGCTGAGCCCCCTTATACCTAGGTAGGTATATATCATAATTCATAATATTAAATATTTAAATAAATGCAACTGCCAACTGACGATAATGACATTTTTGGCCCCACAAATTTACTCTGCCCCGGGCCCCGCAAATCGTCCGGACGGCCCTGAGTGTATCATATAGAATCAAATCATTTTAAACAAATTTCAAAATTTTTTTAGTTTCAATCATAAATTAGTAAAATATATAATATATTTACACATAAATAAAGCTATAACAGTTTTGGATTAGTCAGATAAGGTTAACCTGTTCAGACTGTTCTAACTTGAACTTGAAGTTTAATCTTATTACATTTTAGATTCTGAGTGAAGCGATGAATGTATTGATTTTAGTACTTTACAATGATGTGTGTTTTTTTTTACTTTTTTTATTTTAATTTATTTTTTTATTTTTGTGTCTGTCATCACATTTAAGGACAGTAAAAATTGTAAATACTTAGATTTTCTTCGTCTATGTTCTTTTTTCTGAAAGGAAAGTTGATCTAGTTGATACTTTGGTGGGGGGTCAAAAATAAAAATTTCCCATTAGTTTTCAAAAGCGCCGTGAAAAGTAAAAGAAAAATTAAGGAAAAACGGGAATTTTCCTGCAAAATCTGTTTTTGAGAAAATCGATTTTGGTTTTTGGTGCAACTCTATTACCTTAGGTACACCAAATTTTAACTGAATGTTTATATTAATATTTTCTATACATCATAACATTTTGACTTACTTTGAGTTGTTTACTGACATTTTCAGTTCCCATATTTTTAGTTTTTTCTCTATAAATATCAATAAAATTGTATTTGTTGGTTAAAAAGATTAAAAATGTAATAGAAGGCTCCTAGTATATTGTTTCAAAAGGCAAATGAAAAAATTTAAAATCCAAAGTATTTTTTTTTATAAGCATTTAACGTACAAATATTGACAAAATACGTAAAAATGACGAAATTTTGCAAATAATTTTGAGTTAGAAATTCATAAAAAAATTTTATAACACATTTTTAATACCTTTTGTTTACCTTTATCAAAAAAAAAATTGTCAACAAGAAAGTCAAATTAAAATTTTATGATCGTTTGAAATTCATATTTTTACAACATTTGATATTCACTCGATTTCTCATGTAATGAATTTCTTTTTTTCATTTTTTTCAACTTTTATAGCTAAGGATTGAAAATTTAAAATAAGGTTCCTACGTAAAGAGATTCCATCAAGAGTTTTTTCTTTTTTTCTCGTATCTTTTCAGCCCCACCCTTCTTTCGATTTTCCCCAGCGTCACACATAATTTAAATTGCATAGTTCAATTGAATTTTTACACTAAACACACTTTTGTATGTACCGTAACTGACTCAGTAACTCGTTCATGTAAATAGTTTAAAGTCAAAATACATATAAATAATGATAAAATAAGGTTATCAATGTTATCAATCAACTAACTGAATATTACCATAAAATATAAAATATAAACACTAAAACGCCAATACCACGGATTTCTAAATAATACAATAGCATCAATTTGAGGGAAAATAGTGTAAATACCAAAATAAATACTATGAATTGCAATAGTTTAAGGTATTAAAAATAATACCTTCGTAGGTATTTGATTTTTAATATATTGTTACAATATAAAAAAAAAATTTAATATTGTATGTTTAATTTATAAAATTATAATTTTTTTTTTTGTAATTATATTACAATAATTATAGCGGCCCTTCGACGCATAGCAGGCGTTTTTGACTTCGTGTCAGATAATATTTCCACCCACCTCTCGTCACCCATCATCACATATTTTCGGAAGTACGGACGAAGAAAAATTATGCCATCATCACGCACGTAGTTTGGTAATTCGTAACGACGAAAAACCAACTACGAATTTTTCCGTCACCACACCACCTATCGGCACCCACTCTTAAATCCCAAACCTACACCACCCCACCACCCACCACACTCACCTCACCGGTGGTCAACATCAACGGCTTATGGGGCAGCCGTAGGTGTAGGGACAATGGTAACAGAGCCACGGGTGTTCACCTGCAAAGGTGACGGGGGCGCAAGCACACCAACTTCGCACACCCCCGCATTATAGGTCATTCTGTATACGCAAAGCATCAGGCGAGTACCGAGACAACCGACAGGGACAGTTTGGTCATGGCGGTCAACACCGACCACCAATCAGTCTCTGTCGCGGTTTATTAATTAACACATAAATTCGATCATTTAAGACTCTGTTAACCCTAATTATGTTATTATTTATCATTTTTATTAGTTGACAATGTAAAACAATGTGTTAATTAATCGTGTATGTTAAATTTCAACAAATAACTATCACCACTGTTTATCTTGTAGTTTTCTCATACAAATCGATGTGCCACACCATTTTTTTTTTAATCGGCGGTTCGAGCGTGAAAAACGCGCGACAAGCTCAAAAATGATGTGACACCTCGATTCGTATGAGATTTTTACAAAAAATACAACTTGAGTATTTATTTTTACATTTAAGATAATGTTCTAAAAATAAATTGAAAAAACCCAGATTTTGAAGGTAGAAAAAATTTTCAAAAAAATCATCATTGGGTCATCACACTGAGTACGCATATACTAGTTTCCTCATTCATTTCAGAAACACCCTGTAGATAATACTATGTAATTGTAAAGTATAAAGCATTTTATTCATTATATTTTAACTTTATAAACATGATAAATATTAACTAGGAGGTACCTATACTAATAACTAATAAGTAATATTATATTTTATTACTATTTAATTTTAAAGTATAGTCAAAATACCAATGTTGGATTATTATCTGTAGATTTGGTATTTTGGTTTGTTCTTGTCGACTTATCGGGCAGTCACATATTATTTGATTGTAGTGTTTATCATAGAATGCCATAATAGATAGATATGACATTTTACCTATATCGGTTAATTCTCGTAAAATTAACTATTTAGTAACCGCGAATCGCTTGTATAGTGCAGTTATATTTTGAATATGGAAAAGTTTAATGTAGATTTAAATGATTTGTTAGAAAAAAAAGGTTCAAATACTTAATTTTTGAAAAAGCTTAAAAGCTTAAATATGATCAACTAATTTCGCATATAATTCAACTAAAGAATAATTTAAAAAAAAAGGAACCGAATGATTATAACCTTTTAAAAAAATACGACCTGTTAAACGTTGTTAATGTTAACAAGTTAATTGTACCTGTATCTGAATAAAAAATAAAAATATTATTGGAGTTATTCTTTCGAGTACCTATAAATACTATACTTTTATTATTAATATTCCAGATAAACTAATAAAATGTGTTTTACAGTTAACAATGACATGTACGAAATCGGGACTAAGGAAGGTCGCCTTTCAACTTTGTATAGTAGAAACCAATTTGTAATTTGCAAGGAAAGATTTCCGAAAGTCGATGATGTGCCACAAACCAAGATTTCACTCCGAGAGACAGCACGGACATTTTCTAATTTGGGTGGTCAGGGCTACGACCGATGTACGTGTGTACTAAAATGTAAAACACGGAAGTGCAAGTGCAAAGCTGCGGAGAGACTATTCACATCAAAATGCCACGGGAGTAGTGCATGCGATAATAAGTAATACATTGATAATATTGAGTATAAATATTATCATTACTCAATGGTAATAAATAATTACTACTAATAAGTAATGAAATATAATTAAATAGTAATAAAATATAATATTAGTATAGGTACCTCCTAGTTAATATTTATCATGTTTATAAAGTTAAAATATAATGAATAAAATGCTTTATACTTTACAATTACATAGTATTATCTATATTGCACAATATATGAAGGTCATTTTACATAATGCCCGGGCATTATATAATATGCCAGGCCATTTTATAAAATGACCAAATTGTATACTTTGCCCGTAACATATATATAGTATGAGCGTGCAGTGTGCACTACGTATAATATGCAAGACAAACAATGCTGCAGCGACTTATGTACTCGCGGTGCTGCACTTCGGTACGAGAAGACATTTAATAATATAACATTATATATTGTGCACGATAAATAATGAAGTCGTGAAAAATTACGAATTTGTCGGACCGGGGACTGACGATATAGGCCTTATACGATCGTCCTATTGTTGCAATCGTATTATAGTCTTAACCGTAGATACCGCGGTACCATGGCCTGTGTGTGGTAATATAGTATAAAAATATAATAATATATTTTAAGAATTTAAAGTAGGTACCCAGGAATAATATTTTTAAATTATATCAAAATAACTAAAATTGTTATTCTTCGTTTAAATACCAAATTTCTTCCAAATTTTGAACTTCAGATGTCTATAAAAAAAATGAGTTTTAGTGTTTATATATTTTTTAGATTTTTTTGGTTACAATATGAACTATGTTCGAGAAACCTTGGTTTAAATTTTCAATCCTTAACTATAAAAAAAGGTGAATAAGTGGATGTCGCTCTGCTCCAGTAGGTACCCACGAATAATATTATATAATCACAACAAAATAACTAGGTTTTTTAATATGTAATTTCGTCCAAATTTGAACATAAAATGACTAAAAAAATAAACTGTGATTGTATATATTTTAGATTTTTTGGTAAGAGAATTAACTACTTAGGTGGAATCTTGTTTTAAATTTTCAGTCCTTAGATATAAAAACTGAACATTTTATAATTTATTAATTACGATGATTAATAATTTTCGAGATTTTGAAAAATTCGGTCAAAATTCGATGTTTAAATGCTTATAAAAAAAAATTGTACTTATTTATAATATTTTTCAACTAAAATTATAACAATATATCAGGAGCCTTGTATTACATTTTTACACTTTTTGGCCCAACAGATAAAACTTTATTGATATTCATAGAAAAAAAAACTAAAAAAATGTATAAATGAAAATATCCGTAAACAGCTCAAAAAGAGTCAAAATATTTTCAAAATTGTATGGTGTATAGGAAATGCTAATATAAACATTCAATGAAATTTTCATGTATCTATAGTTATTCATTTATGAATAACAACAAATTAAGGAAATCGCTACATGAGAAATCGAGTGAACATCCAATGTTGTAAAAATTTGAATTTCAAACGCTCATAAAAATTTAATTTGACTGTCCGGTAGAGATTTTTTTATTGATAAAATTAAAGGTAGACAAACTTATGAGTAATCTTGTATTTCAGTTTAAAATCTTAGATTTAAAAAGAAAAATTTTTACGAATTCTTAACTCAAAATAATTTGCTAATTTTCGTGATTTTTCCATATTTTGTCAATTTTTGAACTTTAAATGCTTATAAAAAAAAAACTGTGACTTACGATTTTTAATATTTTTCATCTTCCTTTGAAACAATATACTAGGAGCCTTCTATAAAATTTTCAAGTTTTTTTAACCAACAAAGAAATTTTATTGATATTTCTAGAAAAAAAACTAAAAAAAAATGAAAAAAGAAAATGTCCCTAAACAGTTCAAAATAAATCAAAATATTTTGAAAATGTTATCGTGTATAGAAAATGCAAATATAAACAACCAGTGAAAATTTCATGAATCTACGGTCATTTGTTTTAAAGTTACACCAAAAACCAAATTAGATTTTGTCAAAAACCGATTTTGCGTAAAAATTCCCGTTTTTCCTTAATTTTTATGTTGTTTTTTCCCGGCGCTTTTGAAAACTACTGGGAAATTTAAATTTTGACCTCCTCAATGCACCAACGATATTCACTTTCCAATCGAACAAGATACTGAAGTCGAAAATCGAAGCATTATTTCGACTACTTATCGTATACACAGACACAAAAATAAAAAATAAAAATAAAAAAATATAAAAATACACATCATTGTAAAATCAATACATTCATCGTTCCACTGATAATCTAAAATACAATTTGTAGTTTGCTTACTTTTTCTTCAAATGGAACAGCAAGGTCATTAGAGGAAATAAGCTTCACCAAATCTTCAGTAGATAAGGATAGAAAATCTTCGCCTTTAGCTACTTCTCTGGAAATAATAATCATTATTTTTATAATAAATTACCTACTTACTCTTGATATAGAAAATTAAAAAATGTTAATCATACAAAAAATTTTGTTTAATATATGCTTCGGAAATTGACAACAAATCAGTACAGTTATGTAAGTCAGCAAACGCTCTGATAATAAGACAATTTGATGGATTCAGTTGTTTTTGTAAAAACTCAGTACATACACCAATTACGTAATCTAACTGTAAGAAGTTTGCGGCGGGTAACAACACCTAAGAAATCAACAACAATTATCATAAAATAATATGTTGTTTGAAGTCGATATCAAATAAAATATTTTATTATACCTGTACATTTTCTTTTGTGACCATAATTTCTCCAGTATAGATATAATCTACTAATAGTAGTAAAATGGTGGAATCTAATTCTCTTATATTGATAAGATGTTTATTGCTTTCATAAAAATTACTAAACATTGCTCGGAAATATGGACTAGCTGCTATTAAAACATTTTTATGTCCAATTACAATTTTACCATCATCTGTTTCAAATCTAACATCACATAAAACTTCTTTTCTAAAAACAAAAATGTGTTACTCATATTTATTTTGAATGATAGTAAACTCACCGTTAACATACTTGCGTTGGGATTGTAAGTCTTCTAGTATTCTTACAGAGTGTGAGTCACTCCTAAAATTAGTTGGTTCACAGTCATTTGATATCAGAATTTGCTTTAGATTATTTTCGTTATTTTCACAAGATGAAGCCTGAATGGTATCCATTTCTTTTACTGACATGCCTAACAACTTTAAATATATTTTAAAAATTGTGATTAATTTTCATTTTTATCATTGTGTTTAAACTTATTACTAAATTTAGGTGCTTTAGAGTGTAGACATGGTAAAAAACAACATACTTAATGCTGATGTTAAGAAATTATTAAATTATTGGTTAGATTTATTAAAATATTAATGAATTAAAATAAGTATATTGAATAGGTACGAGACCTTTTTTCTTACTTACTGCAGTTGAATTCATATCAATGAGTGAGGTCTAGACAAAGGTATGGTATTGAAATATGGGCTAATATACAAAATATCTAATCGATGTTGGTAGGGACAGCTGGGATAAGATAGAAGTTGTGAGGTAAGAATGTAAGATGGGAATTGTATGTAAGTCGTAATAAGTTGATTATATCTAAATTTATCCAACGCACATGTACTGTATGTTGAGCATATTGTATTTTGTTGTTTTTATTTAATAATAATATATTATAATATTACAAAAGTTGGTTATACTCATTACCCCTGAAGACTATACAGTAGACACTAGAATACAATATCCTAGCATTGACTAAAGAATAATATTATGAATTTCGCCTTCACGTTGTCAACTTTTTATAATTCCTGCTCTACCTGTTTTCCTAGAAAGTCAAAGTTGCCCCAGACCACATACCAGTTTAAGTTCTACTTTCTGGGTACACAGGTATAGCAGGAATTTTAAAAAGCTGGTCAGAAATTCACAGGAATTGAGCACTATATACAATATTGTAACGTATGCGGTATCTAGGTACCTACTATTTTAGTGATAATAGTAGATAAGTGGCTACCGGAACGTTAACACGTTCACTGCGTACTGACGCCAATTGGCGTCATAAGTATCATTCAGCAACGCGTTTGACGCCATAATAATTATGGCGTCTAATATACATTTCAAATAAATGGTTTAAAATTCCCTACGCGTGGCTGAATGTTATTTTATTATTATTTAGCGTGGATTAAACGCATGTTTTTAAATATGTATACATACGTCGTTATGAGCAGTTTCTTTATATTTTTGTTTTTATTTCTTTTGTTTTTACTTTTATCATACGCACTGGGTGAAAACTGCAAAAAGACATACGCAGTCAACGTGTTAATGTTGCAGGTCGCAGACACTTCTTCAGATAATATAGTCGTGGTTGGTGAATGAATAAAATAACAGTTGTTGTATAATTGTGAATTTTATTATAACACTCGATAATTTTACTAAGTTCAAATATTGTTGTACAGAGTGGCGTGAAGGTGCTTGCACTAATGGGTGGTAGTACAGTAGTACACGTCTGAAAACAGGCCTATTCGGGCTCCCTTATATATGAAGTTCCCCGTGCCCCTCGCCTACAGATACGGTATCTTGGTTCTCACGGATGTGATTTGTGTGGTCATTCCAGCCCACGCATTTACGATTGAATGTATTACTAAACTATGACTATTATTAAAATAATCATTTTACTCTTTTTTTATTTGAATTTCGTCGTATGCACTCAGTGTTTTCCCTATGATTATTATAAAATAACCACCTTATTCTTTTATTTTTGGATCTCGTTGTGTGTGCCCAGTGTTCCTGTAAAATGTTACAACCGCCTATTTCTGAACCCTAATTTCCTTAATATCTGGTTATGCCGGTCTATCGTATATTATAATAATAACTATGTAGGTACTCATGAAATTGGTATTGTTCCGTAGTAACTGGCTTACTACATTATCAATGCATTTAAAAAATTACAAAATTCAGATTTTCATAAATCCATACAGGTGCTCAAACACAAACAATTTATTGTTTTTGGAGACATATTGTAAAGGTAA